CACCGCGCCCCGCGCTGACGTCACCCCGCGCCGGCCCCGCCCACCGCGAGGCCGCGGGGTCGCCGTGAGTGCTCCGGGCAAGATGGCGGCGGCCGCTGCGCTGAGGGGCGGCGGGCGGGCGGTGACCCGCGAGGTAAAGGGGCTCCTCGGGGCGATTTCCTGCCCCCACATTCCCTCAGCTGCCGGAATTTCCTCCCGCTCTGTTAACTCGTGTTGTGTTGTGCCGTGCAGGTGTTGCAGATGGAGGCGCGGGGGCTTTGCACGAAGCCGGTGGGCACCGGGACGGCGCCGCCAAAGAGTAAGAGGGTGGTTTGGTGTGAGGGGTATGGGGGTGTCAATAAAAGGAATGGGTGAGGAGACCTGGGGAAGGGTCACGCCTCAGAAGAGGCGCTGCATAAGCTGGGAAAAACAAGGACTGAAAGGTCACCGCCATGTAAACGAGGCTTCTGATAAAATGTACCGCGTAGTAATAAAAGTAAAAGTAAAGGTCTGGCTGTGTGGAATATATTTATAGGCCATATGTATATGTATGTATATGTACATGAATATAGTTTTACTTTTAAGAGCTTGTCACTTCTTTCCTGTTTATCTTCACTTTAATATTCAAGGCCAGGCTGGTTGAGGCAGTGTCAGACTGTTCAACCTGTAGGAGGGCGAATGGCTTCAAACCGAAAGAAAGTAGGGTTAGATTAGATATCAGGAAAAAATTCCTCACTGTGAGGGTGGTGAGGCCCTGGCACAGGTTGCCTCCAGAAGCTGTGGATTCCCATCCCTGGAAGTGTTTTTAATGAAGTGCAAAATCTACTTTTTAACTTTAGATGTTCACCCTTGTCCTTTGAAATGTTTGTGTAATCAGTGTTAAAAAATAGACATAGAGAAGGACTTCCAAGATCCAAATATCCCAGACAGCAGCTCCAGGCAGCAGTGAAAGAAGCTGCCATGGCCCTGCTGTGTTAAATTTGGTTATAATGCTTCTTGCCCCATAGATTTGCAAGCCTGAACCTTGGTTTGGATGCTGCCCTGCATCCCGCATGGAGGAGTATTTGAACCCCTTTTATCCCTGACCAGAGTCAAAACAGGAATACAAATTTCAAAGACTGATGCCTTGTTTGTATAAATGGAGGCTCAGTGGTTCAGTGAGGTTTCCTGTCCCAAATTAGAGATCCAGGTGCTGAAACAGAGAAGCTCCGTGGAACCATACGTAGGAGTGATCAGACTTGTTGACTGCTGTTGAAAAGATCACTGAAAGAGTAGTTGAAGGCTGACTTCTGCCACCTTCTTAAATGCCAAAGCAAATAAAAGCCTGGCTGTTCCACTAAAAAAGCCTTCACTGCATAGATTGATTGAGCAGCAAATTGCTTTTTATTATGATTTGTTTTTTTGCATTAAGTGTGTTTAAGATGCACTTTAGTATCAGTTTCTGGATTCACTGTGCTGCAGCTCTGATTTGTGTCAGGAGCCCTCTTAGGCCAGCTCTCCCAGCCAGCTGCTTCCCCTGCAACACTCCAGGTTAATTAAGATGTATAAGATGCCAGATTCTGGCTGGAACAGGATGTGCAAATTTTCCTTGCTTTGATAAAATGGTCATGTTTACATACAGAGTCAATGATGGGAAATAGACCTGTAATTTCTGCCTGTCACCTCTCTGAGTGTGAACAGGCTTTAAATACATGCTGGGAATGATGCTGATGTTCAGGAAGAACACATCTGGGAATGATATTTCTGTGACTGATTTGGATATGTTGTTCTTTTGGCAACGTGATACAGGTACAGATTAGCTGGTGCAAAATTGTAAATACCCTAATTGAAGTGTATCAGTTGTCTTGGATGTTTCAGCTTTTAATCATAAAGTCTATCTTTTGCCACTTTTCCCAACTTAACTGTTTAAAGTATTATTCCAGTAACTAATTGTTAAGTTGAATTCTCCTTGCATTCTTGGTTTCTTAGGATGTTTTAACATTAATAGTTCTTCAGGTTTTGCTTAGCTTTCCCTTGTCTGTCCTCCCTTTGGCCATTCTTGTGTTAGTTTAACTTCTTCTATGCCTCTCTGAAGAACTCTTCCATCCTGAGTGACGCTTCTTCACGTGTTAGTTTCTCCGGGCTGCTGTTTGGCTGGGTCAGTCTGTGCAGGGAGTTAGACCTCTTCCAAAGGTGGCTGCCCATCCTCCTGCCTCCCCCTGCCTTCCCATCCTGCACCTTCCATCTGGCAGAGAGAAGTATGTGCTTGAAATTATCCAAAATACTGCTTGTAAACTTGATACCTGTTTTTCATTGTATTTTGTTATGATAAAAACTCTTCATTTCTTTCTTAAATACTTTGCTTTGATGTGCTTGTCTCTTCTGTGATGTTTTCATTTAGACATTGCTAAAGACTTGCTTCTGTTCAGAACTAATGGTAATAACTGCTTGAATCATACAAGGTATTACCATAAAATACCAGTGAGGGGAAAGCTGTATCTTGTTTATGGGCATATAAAGTAGATCTGGATTTCCAAACTCTGCAGAAAAATCTGCATAATGGGCTGGAAATCTGTTGAATTTTGCTGCTGGGTGAAAGTGGTGCAACTTGTAATGGAGTAGGCTTTGCTATAGCAAATTTCAGCCATGGTGAATATTCTTAATATGCTCCCAGTCCTCTGTGACCTCCTGTTTTCTGTAACCACAACAGTATTTGCTGTTGCTCAGCCTCTTGAGGATGATAATAAGCATCTAAGGGGTATTACTTATTCCCTGAAAGGACCTGAAAATTGCTGTCTTCTCCTTCAACTGTTGGTTCTTTGTCTGGAGAGTTTAGCTTAATGCAGATATTCACTAGGGAGAAGAAGCAGAGACACAAATAAACATGAAGCATCAGGAGATCTTCTAAGACTTCTTTAACAAAGAGGTCAGAAGCCAGAAATAGGAAGTGAAGACTGGAGGAGATGAGGTCTTGGGGAAATAGTGTTGAGCTATGGGGGCACACCTCAGCTGGCAGCTCACGTGGGCAGTGAACAAATAATATTTTCATGGATGGCCTCAAGTATCTCTTACTCTGCTGCTTTGCCTTTTGGGAGTCATCCTTCTCTTCTGCTTCCAGGATAACTCCTTGCAAGCAGCTGTGGCTGTGTCTCTTTACTGTGTCTGTGCCTTTCTGGCTTGTTCACAGACAAGTGTTGCCTCTGCAGCAGCATTTGAAGAGTTTGGTTAACAAGCTATCCTAATGCTCACCTGGGATAGGGAAGTGTCTGCAAACCTTTTCCAGTGATGCAGAGTTGAAGCACAGGGAAGACCAGCTCTTGGAGGAGTCTGGCAAAGTGAGGAACATCAGGGTTTATCTCTTGAATTTTGGCATCACAGCAGCAAAAACTGTTACATGCTTCTAGAACTCCAGTTTCTTTAATTTAAAAAGTCTAAAAACTTCCTGCTTTGCAATGCCTGTATTTAGCATTGTAATTACTTTTAGTTTATTTTTGTACCAGATAATCTGTAAAAGTTAAAACTGTGACTAAGATCAGTAACAGCGATGTCAGATACAATGATGATAATCCTCTTTATGCCGTTTCCTAGATGTAGTGGCACCACAGGGAAGCACCAAGCTGCTTGCCATGAAGGCACCAGTTGAATTTCGTAAAATGTTGTCCTCTAGCTCTCTCCTGCGGTCTGCAAAAAAAGGTGAGAGCATATCTAGTACCAACCTCGAGGAAGCTGCAAAACCTGCTGAAGATACAAGGATGGCCATGTCAAGAAAAACTGAGGTTTCGTTTCCTCAGCGAGGAGTTGTTTCCTCCCCTGAGGAGGAAAACCTGACCACATCTGCAACAGGAGGAGGCCTGAGGAAGGAGTTAGCTGAGGAACAGACATCCAGCTCAGAGTCAGATTCTAGCTCAGATTCCGAGGATGAAAATGTTGATGATTCAGAAGTTCCCACTAAAACGAAAGTTGAGTTTCCTAGACGAGATCCCATCTTTTCTGAGAGCATAGCAGTAAAGGCATCAATGCTGGCAAAAGATAAATTGTCCCAGAAATCCCTCAAAGAATATGGAATTAAGAAGCTGCCACGCAAACCGGAAATTAACGTGTCTCCTGTAAAGCAGGTCAAATTTTCTGAAACATCAGTCAGCCAGGAAACATCAAAATCCAAAGCAAGAGACCCCAAAGTAAAAGCCACTCCAAAAGAGCACAAGTTAGAACCACGTGTGGTGAGAAGTCTGGACCTGACCAATATCACTCATAAATCTGGTCATATGGAGGAAAAGTCCATTGGAACCCAGGTAGCAGCTATTCAGATGAAAGCCTCAGCAGTGACTCAGGAAGACAAAAAGCAAGAACTAGTATCCAGAGGAGAGAAGGAAGAACTAGTATCCAGAGGAGAGAAGGAGAAGGTGAAGGAGGCACAGGAGTTGGAATCAAAAGAAGTAACTGCTCCTAAAGTGGAAGAAACTTCTGGAAGCACAATGTTGGTGATGGACACTGCAGCAAAGGAGGAGACCATGCAGGAAGCAGGAGTCCAGGCTGGAGAAAGCGGTACAATAGAGGGTACAGCTTTAAATTGTTTGAACTGTATTGATTCAGCTGGGGTAGGGTTTGATTTTCTTAAAGGGTTTCCACATCTTCTCTGATCTTTGTACTGAAGCTGGCATAGTGGCAGTGACTTTCTGGAAGATAAATTGTTGTTCATTGCTAATTGTTATAAGCTGTCAGTAATACTCAGTCTCCAGCTATGCTGTGAAAGAAAGCAGTTTCATTTTCTCTGTATTTATAGTTTCATAAAACAGTTACTTATAAAATGGAAACAAGATTGTTTCCACTGTGAGCAAAATCATGGGTTTTATATGACAACACTTGTTTTCATTATTCTCTTTCCTTGGAAGGATTTGCTAGCTGCCATTCTCATGAGTCAAATTTGGTGCCATGTCATTGTTGCTTAAACCCTGCCATTTTTCTGGTTCTGTTTTGGCTTCTTTTGGGTTTTGTTTTGATGGTTTTCTTTTCAATCTGTCAGTGTTTCAGATTTCAGAAGACTTCAAGAAATCATAGTGTAATGCCAGAACCAGGCATTGTTGATTCTGAGACTGGAAGGTTGCAAGGAACTTGTGTGGAAGTAGTGAGTCAGTTTTGTAGAGAGCTGGGGAGGAGATAATGGCGTGTTTTCAGGAAAGACCATCATGTATCATGTAATCATCCCCTCAGCTCTACTTCTTTATCTGACCTACCCTTCTTATTTCCTTCCATCCTGTTAATTGATGGCCCTGCTGATCTCATTCTGTTATCTCAGTAGCAGATGTCTCTCTGTCCTGACCTGTCGAGATTCTGCCTTTCATCTTAGCCAGTATAAATCTGCCATTCTTGAGACCCCTCGTTGCTACTTTGAATTAAAGAATTTGCCTGTTTGGAAGTAAAAGCAACATTAATTGTAAGGTTGTTTGGGTATCATCCTTCAGGAAAGGCCCTGGGGGCCAAGGGAACAGCAAACTGAACATGAGCTAGCAACGTGCCCTTGCAGCAAAAGCCACCCAGGGTAACCTGGGAGGGTCAGGCTGAGGCAGCTGCAGCTCCTCCCCTGGTGTGGAGCACTGGGGGTGTAGTGTTCAGTTTGGGGTTCCCCAGTGCAAGAGAGATGTGGGGCTGCTGGGCAGAGACCAGCAAAGTGCCACTGTAATAATGGAGGGACTGGAGTGTCTCTCCTGTGAGGAAAGGCTGAGAGAGCTGGGACTGTCCAGCCCAGAAAAGAGACGGTTCAGACAGAACATCATCAATGTGTGGAAGTAACAAGAGTGCAAAGAAGACAGAGGTAAGGCTTTTCAGTGGTGCACAGTGATGGGACAAGAAGCAGTGGGTACAAACTGAATCACAGGGTTTTTCCTGAACATCAGTAAACACTTTTTTTTACTGTGAGTAAACTGTGATCACTGCACAGGTTGCACAGAGAGGTGGTGGGGGTCTCCATCCTTGGAGATACTCAGAAGCTGTCTGGATGGGGCCCTGGGTCTCCTGCTGTAGCTGACCCTGCCTGAGCATTTGGGGTTGGACCAGCTGACCTACAGAGGTGTTTTCCAACCTCAGCTGTTGTGTGACTCCAAAGTGCCTGGCCAGGTTAAGAGACAAAATAATTGCATTTATGTGTCAGCTTTCAGGAGATGGTGCTGAGTAAAAGGCCTGCCTTCTGTTTGAGGGGTTGGCTCATAATTTCATGTTTCCTTACCTTCTTCCTCAACTCAGATGACTGGAAATGGCACTCGGTGCTGTGGTCAGTTGACAAGGTGGTTATCAGCCAAAGGTTGGACTCCATCTTGGATGTCTTTTCCAACTAAATAATCCTGCAGTTTAAAAACCAAAATGCAGCACTGTTTGCCAGTGATATTTTGATTTGCTTGTTCCTTGTAGTCAACAGCATAAGCTTTCTTTTAAAAATAACAAAAATTTGGGAAGGGCTCTTTGTTTTTATCTACAAATGATGCTTTTCTCACCATTCATCCACAGTGGAGTTCTAGATGCTCAAACATTATTTTTTTCTGGTGTCTCCAGGTATATTTTGTTCTCTCTTCCTTCTTTGAGAACAGCCACTGCTTTTCCTTGTTTAACATTCACAGCTGACGGTACCACCTGTAATTCCTACTTCTGCCCTGCCCCTGTGCCCTTTTGTCTGCAAACTCTGCAGCAGCCACACAAAAGATGTAAAAAGAATTTTTCTCAATGCAAACCTGGACGTTCAGGTGATGTCATCCCTTTGTAGAGCAGTCAGCAAAAACTGCAGACTTGAACTGCCGAGTGAGGAGCACAGTTGTAGCTGGTAACTCAGAAACAGGCCTGTGATTCATTTGGGAAGAACATCCCGTGAAGTGCTTGTTCTTTAAGAGACAAAGCAGAGATGAAGGATGAAGTATAGGGAGGATGAACTCGGGAATAAATTTTTCCTTCGAGAAGCCAAGTGCAGTGTATTTGGGCAGGGAAAATGCAGCTCCATCTGCTTCCCTTCCTGCACATCTGTCTCTGAATTTGGAACAACTGGCTCTTGCAGCCTGAGCGTACTCTTGCCTCCCCCTTGCCTGTTCTTGGGGCTCTTTGCAGCAAAGAGCGTCATCTGGCTTTTCTCTCTGGAGTGTCATCTCCTGTGATCTGTGTCAGGAGGAACTGAGCAGTAGGCACAGGGCATTTCCTGTCGTGTTTTGCTGAAACCATGACTTAGTACCTTGAGTTCTATAAGCAAGCCTTGCTAAATGCTATGGAAGTTTCTCCTAATCTGATTGCTTCACACTGCAGTTATTATGTCATAAGCAAAGGAAAATCCTAGTGTTCAGGTGTTTTTATTGTAGCTGGGCCTGTTACAAAAAGGGCTTAATACAATCTAACCTGAACCACCTCATATAAATTTATATGACAAAGCTTTTCACTGCACTGTATGTTCTATTGTTGAAGCTCTGGGTATACAAGAATAAGTTAATACAGGGAGTAAAGTTTTATTTCTTGCAATTTGCTTGGCTGTAAAATCAGCCTGTAACAGGAACCTTTTATGTAAATGATACTGCCTAGATTTGCATAATATTCTAAAAGCGTAAGGATTAATGTTGGCTTTAACAGGAAGTAAGGACTTCTAAATAACTTTATTGGGTTATTCTTTTTTGAAGGAGAGCTAATACAAAGATTAGAAGATTTAATTTACAAGGAAAGAAATTTACATCAAAGTCTCTTGATAGATTACTGTTTGGTATAACCACATTTGAAATTAAATGGTGGAGATCTTGCTAATTCCACTGCTTCTCCCCATGGCAAAAATTCAGTCTGCTCTAATAGCTGTATCTTGTGGTCTGACAGGATGATACATCATATGTACTGCTCCTTTGCCCCTCCTGGTTTGCTAAGAATGTCACCTACTGTTCTGGCTGGAATGAAAACCAGGGCAGCTATGAGAAAGCCAGGAAATGCAGACATATGTCTTCCAGAGACAAATGGACTGTTCTGCCCTGTCCACCCCCAGCATTAGGTGGTGGGCTGGGTTTAAAACCTGTGCTGTGTGAGATGCCTTGTGCTGATCCCTGCTCCCCACTGCACAGTAATGTGCTGCTTTAGGGTCAGACAAGGCACCAGCTGGACTTAGTGAACTTCTCCTTTTGTTAAAGTTGATGGCTTTATTTTCTTTCAAATGTTGACTGGATGAGGGGTCTGACAGTTTATGAAGGCTGAGTCAGTGCTTAAAAAACATTGTCCTCTGGTGTGGCATCCTCATAGTCACCAGTTCCTGTTTGTTTTCACAGAGACCACAGCTCAGCCTGCTCCAGAGGAGTTTGATAATTCCACCTACAAGAACCTGCAGCACCATGAATATCACACTTTCACCTTTCACGATTATATCTCAATCCTCGCAAAGTACAGGCAGCCCCAGCCATCCTCTGGAAGACCATCACCAAGGCACTGAAAGAACCACACTTAAAACCAACACCCAGGCAGGATGATGAATTGTTCTGTTTAGCACTGTTGCTTCATCTGTATAATTGAAATCAGATAATAAACAATAAAGACGTAATAACTTGGGCTTTTGAACAGTTCTTCCTGGCTCTTGGAGTCCCTCACTTCTTGACTTCTATGAGTGAACTGCAAGTGAATCATCAATGAATAAAAATGTATTTTCTGCCTCTCCATATATATTATTTGGTGATGGTGTAAAAGAGTCCTGACTTTTCAGTGTCTCCAAACTTTGGATACTGACCATTCTTACAGGGCCACGTTGGAGAATCCCATGGGATTCAACTGCCTGTGGAGTATTTGCCATGTTCAATTTGATGGTGGTGTCACTGTACTGCAGTGGGCTGTGCTCCTTGCACACAAACGTGTTCCCAGCTCTGAAGAGGTAATGTTTACTCTGGATTTGGGAGTTAAAATCATTGGCTGGAAGCAGCACACAAAGTATTTGTCTCCTGTGGCAAGAGTGAATGTTTTGTGTTAGTGGAGGAATGCAAGTTTATGTAATGTGATTGAAACATCTCAAAACCTCTGCTCTTGTAAAGAGAGAACAGAACATACAACTTCATTTAATCATCTGTTGGGGGCTCCAGTTCAAGCAGTAATTGAAATCATTTAAAATGTAAGAGAATCTCAGTGGGCAGGTCCTAGTAGGCTTTTACTGTGTTGATTAAACTTTTAGGAAGAAACCTATTTCTATGGATAGAAACACTTGAATGAATATTTTTAAATGTGATGAAAATACCATAAGGGTAAAAACAGCTCCTGGTACTAATTGTTGGGAGTATGTTTAATTTCCCACTTCTTTTTTTCCCCACACTAAAAGTTAAAATTGCTGTCCAGCCTCAGTCTTGCTCTGCAGAAAATGTGAGCCATGAGGCACTTCTCAATACATGTTATCAGCAGTTACAGTTGGTCTCAGTAAATTTTGTATTTCCATCCTATTAGTAACAGTCTTCTGCCTTCTGGGAAAATCGCCTTGATGGCTGCCAGCTGTTGTGGGTTTAGTTCCATTTTGGCTTCTTGTTCATTTTGGGCTTTTTTGGAGTTAATTGGCCTTTAAGCAGTTCTTGCAATAACTCCAGCATTTTCCATCACCTGTCTGTATTCTCTCAAGCAACAGACCAGGCAAGATCAAAGGGAAAATGGAGTCAGCTTTAGGAGTCTATCTGGGTATTGGATGTGAATCCCTGGGTGCAATTAGTAGAGCAGATATTTTATACTGTAACTTAGCAAAAATGTGGTAAGAAGGATCAAGAGGCCTACATCAATTTGCTGTGTAGAATTTTAAGTCAGAAACCCCTGGCAAGCAATTTTATTGTCCTGTAAAAAATAAAGAGCATGTTGGTGACTCCAACTGAAATTTAGACATCTATTAATGTATAAATCCACGTGCTGAGGAATAAAGAGCAGAAAGTCACTTGGAGGCACCAATGGCCCCATGTCCTCTGTACTTGTAAAAGGGAGAGAAATTTGCTGCTAACATTAAAAACATGAAAGAATTGGGGTCTTCCTTTGTGAAGGGCCCACAGGAGGGCCCCAGAAACTCTGCTGTGATTTGTTATTACCTGAGACTCAACGTAGTAACCTGAGCCCTAGAGCTCAGAGCTGCACTGGTGCTGATCTGTGCTCTGAGCCGCTCTGTGATTGCACAAGGAGGCTGCAAATTGTCAGACTCTACGCAGTAAAAGTGAAATGTGTATTTACTCAGCCTGCCCACAGTAGCTGTCACTGTTGGCTGTTGGGAGTCAGACTTGCTCACCTCATGCCCTTTTTATTTCTCAGGAGGGCTGATGTTCTAAACAGGGGCTGAATCAGCCCAGGAGGAGTGGGTTGAAGTAGAAATGTATCTTGCTTTCAGTCAACTCCCACCCTCTGCTCAGCTACATTTCCAACAAAGGCGATTCTAATCTGGTTCTGGGACGGGCATTTTGCTACCCTTGTTTCATGATCACAGCAAAAATTAATGGTGGATGCCTTTTCTATCCATGTAACCCTGCCTTGGTGTCTTCTGGTGATCTTTCTGCACCTCTAAAATGAAGCTGGAAGTCAAATAACCTCGTGACTCCTGTGGTGCATGTCTTTAGTTTGCCCTGCTCAGTGAACCAGTCTGCTCTGGAAAGGGCAGATAATACAAGGAAGGCATCAAGACTTTTTTCCCACTGTTGTGTTTTCCTGGACTTCAATGAAAAAGGCTTCATGTTTTTGTCCTTGGCTATTATCAGATGTTGCTGTGCTTGAGTCATATGCTAACATTTAAATTTCAATCAGGATGTGACACAATATGCTCAAATTCTGTAACGTTAGTAACTTGGTCTTGCTGCACTAGGCACTTGTCAGATAAGTCAGGGATCTTGTTTGGAAGGATGTATAATCCAGGATACTCACATAATTCCTGGAAAACCTCAAATGTGAAAGAAATTAAGTCTCAGTTTAGTTACTGTGAAAACCAGCTGTTCAGGCCCAGCACACACTTCAGAAGTGGGGGTTTTCAATGTAAATTGCATTACTGGGGGAGTACAAGAAAATCTGGACAGTGGAATTCTCTTTCCTCTCATGGAAACCTCTTCACTGAAAAGATGAAGCAACCACTTTCCTTGTCAAAGGGAATGGTTTTTAAACTTTGTCTTTTTCTTTGTCTTTTTTTTTTTTTTAAGCGCAGCAAACTGCTAACAAAATTGCTTTTCATAATATTCTCACACTTAGATCTTTCAAAGTAATTTGGAACCCAGAAGGTTCTGGACAGCCACTGGAAACCCACTAATCCAAGGTCCAGAAGTGGTACTGCAAACACAGCCTGTGGTATTACAGCTTTAGCTATTACAAGTTCAAGACTATTTTGGTCCTTCTGGTGCTTTCTGTGGCCTCCAGTCACAATGAGAACTGAAATCTATAAGGATCTCAAGTCTTTCAAATTGGGAAATGAGACTTTTCACTGAGTGCACTGACAGATCTCCCACAGTACATCCCCAGTGTTCAACAGAACACATCCACTAAGGCCTAAAAACCTGTCCCAGGTCTTTTCTCTCACCACAAGAGATGTCATTGCTTGTGTGTTCCAAACAGTTTGAATTTCTGATGGGTCCAGTCAGTGGTTGATGTGCAGTGAATGAGCAGAAAACACGCTCCCAGTATCCTGTGTAGCATTATAACATCAGAATTGTTCAAACTGAGGTTGGAATTCCTGAGATGAGCAGTCCTCTGCTCTGTAGCTGCTGAAATTAGATCAGATTGTCCTGGACCTTGTCCAGTTGAGTTCTGAGTATACTCAATATCCTGAAGGCTCTCTGGTCACCTCCAGCGTTTGGACACTCTTGGGATTTAAAGGACAAACAAAAACCCTTTACCTGTTGTCTAATTGGAATATTTTTGTTTCCTGATGCTGATCCTTACTCCACATTTCTGACAAGCCTGACTTTGTCCTCTCTGTACCCTCCAAGGAGTTGATTGAAGGTAGGAATCCCCCTTATTGTCCCCTTCAGACCTGGTTGCTTCTGTAACACAGAGTGATCGACTCCATAACCAGAGATCCTCTCAACTGTGAGTAACATTAATTCAACTCTTAGGGTTTTCAACAAAATATCCCACCAAGTTTCCAGATCATCCTTCTCTCATGTGGCTCTTTTTAATAGAACTGTCAGTACTTTTCTTCTGTGATTCTGTGGTTTCAATGCTTACATATTATCTTCAATATTCATTTCAGGATCACTCCTAATACAATCTACAAATATTTTTGAGCTCCCCTTTTTTTATTTTTGCCTATACAAATTCAGTTACACTTGGAAATTCATACCCACCTCTGGAAGTCTTGGATATGCAGCGGTTTTGGGGTACAATGTATTAATGCACAGTTAGAGACAGAAGTTTAAATGCATGTATTTATAATGAAATATCCCAAAAACTTTGGCTCAGTGTGTAGAGTCAGTGAATGAATTCTCAAAATTTATTTTGGTCTCTCCTGCTCTCTTAACAAACATTTAACTGCCAAATAGATTGACAGGAATATGTTTCTGTAAATCCATAGCATCACATAATACAGACTATATTCATATATTTTAACTTCTAACATTCACAGAGCCCACACCATGTGTCTCTGTTAAAATCAACACCTACAATTCTTACTGGGATTGTTTTTGTTACTCCAGTCTGAAATGTGGTTCAAATGTGATTCAAATGGCAATGCCCCTTCCCAAACAGACACTTCCCAAAGCAGTAATGTAAAAAATGAGCTAATGTAGATTATTTATGCTTTGGGGTTTTTTTGTGGAGTTTTTTGTTTGTTTGTTTTTTATTGGTTGAGATTTTGCTTTGTTTTCTGTTTCTCTCTCACATCTGTCCATGATAGTGAGGTGCTCTTACTTTTCCATTAGGCCATGGGGGTACACTTGGTTTCTAAAATGTGTCTGTCATTTTAGAAATGACATCTCTCTGTCAGGGGAGAGGGAACGTGCAAGCCATGACACACCTTGTGCTGCACAAATGCTCATGTCATGCCTCACAAAAGAGAGCAAGAATTCCTCTTCCCTGGAGGCTTGGAAAGGGACTTGAGAGCACCACTCCTCAGTGCTTCCATTGCTCATTTCCAGGTGCTCCTTTTCCAAAAGGCCTCTTCCATGCCTTTTTTATTTAACTAAAAATCATGCCAGACAAGGCCATTCTGAACTGCAGAGATGTTTCCCAAACTCTCCTGGAGTATTCCTAAAAGTGAACTGCATCCCATAGTTGAAGAACTGGGAGAAATGTGAGGGGAGCTGGAAAGAAACTCAGAATACATAAGGAAAATGCAGGAACTGAGAGCAAGATGGTCCTTATGACTCAGGTGTTGGGACTGGATCATTTGTGAGACCTCTGGCAAGTTGCATAATTCCTTAGGTTCTCATCCTTACTTTATAGATGAGGAGTTAGTGGTCCCAGCTTTCTCTTTTTGCATCACATCTATTTAGTGAGCAACTCAGAATGAAAGAGTAAAAAATGGAAAAGATTTTTTCCTCACAACTTCTGTCTTGGGGACACACATCTTTTAAAAGCTCTGAGCTAGCTGAGGTTCTCCCAGGAGATGCAGTGCTTATTAACAGTGTGACAAAAA